CTCCCTCTCTCTCTCTCTCTCTCTCTCTCTCTCTGATTTTTACATAAATGATCAAAATTCACTAAGACGATATAACAATTATAATCATATATGTACCAAATATTGGGGTTCCCAGGTTTGTTGACAAACACTAATGGATGTAAAGTTGTCATTGTTCTGATATTCTCTTTGAATTGTCTTAACTGATTCCAAAAATTCTGATAGGTTGTGATGCTATTGTTTTTAATCCCCCAAATTTTTCATTTCCTTCCCAGTTTCTACACTGGTCCTCTGTCAGTCACAAATGGATTGTTCAGTCTCTATACATTTATGTAGTATTTATGGTTCTACTTATTATTGTTCTTTAGTTTCACTTCATGATAATCTCCTAGGATTAATAAATTTTGTTTGGTTCTTTAGATTTTAGGCTTATTTTGTGATTTAGAATATAGACTATTTTTGAGATGGTTCTATGGGCTACTGAGATAAATGTATACTCAGTTTTTCTAAGATGGAATATTCTATAGATATTTGCTGGGTCCATTTGCTCTATGATGTGGTTTAAATCTGGTATTTCTACTTGACTTTTAATTTGGATGATTTATCTAGAGATGAGTGTAGGGAATTGAATTCACCTACTAATATTGTATCAAAACTTTATGTTCATTAGTGTTTGTTTAATGGAATTGGGAGTCCAACATTTGGTGCACATATAATTGTTACATCTTCTTAATATTTTGTTCCTTTTATTAGTATGCAGTGACTTTCTTTATCCTTTCAAACTAATTTTGGTTTTAAATCAACTTTAACAGATACCAGAAGAGCTGTACTGGCTTGATGTTTTGTTTTGTTTGTTTCTATATTTGTTCATTAGATAGACGTACTTTCATTTTTTGACTGCCTATGGGTATCTTTATTAGTGAGGTGTTTTTCTTGGAGGGAAAAACAGTTGTATATAATTTTTCAATTCTATTATCTAGTGTATGTGGTTTTGATGATGAGTTTAGGCCACTTACATTTGAGTTTGTTACTGAAAGATGTTTACTAAGGCTTGTGTTTTTATTGATTCTTTCTCTGGTTGGTTGAGTTATTATTTATTCTTAAATATATCACCTGTTAATGTGAGGGGCTTTCTGGTTTATTGTGTTCGGCATAATGGTCCCCCCCCAGCTCTACTCTCTCTGTTCCTTTCCTTAATTTATACTTTCTTGTAATTTGTGTGATTATGACTATCTTTCTTCTTCATTTTTTACAGTATACATTTAAATATCTTCCATAATACTGAGTTGGTGATCATGAATTGCCCTAGTTTGTACTTGCTTGATACACATTTCACCATCAGTCTTTAAATATACCTTTGCTTGATATAGCAGTCTTAGTTGGCAGTTATTTACTCTCAGGGCTTGAGATATGTTGCTCCATCCTTTTCTGGCTCTTAGGTACTCCCAACTTATGTGCATTTATGTGAGCAAGCATTTAACCCTTGTAGCTTATAATATTATTTCTTCACTGTATATTATTGGCAACTTAACTATATATAATGTAGAAATTCTTCTCTGATAATATCTAATGCTTCTTAAATTTGGGTGTTCACTTTTTTCTTTAGATTTGGAAATTTTCTGAAATAATTTTAGCGTTTGTGACCTAAAATACCATCTATTTTAGAGATGGGTTTCTGGACTTCTGAGAAGAATTTTTATTGAATTTTCGCCTTGTGAAATATTATATAAATATCTGCTAGGTCTGTCACCATTTACAAAGAGCTACAGTAGGCAAATAAGGTTCTGGAAATGGCCCCCCATCTTGCTCAGCTATGATGGGTGAGCTCTAGTGAGACACTGCCCCAGAGAGTTCATCCCAGGATTGCTTCTTGTTACTGATGTGCTTTCTCATGTTTGTCATTGCCACACTTCTCATATATTTGGCTTGGTATGAGTGGACACTGGGAGACCCACTGCCTATAGCCTGTTTATTGATTACTTCCTAGGTGATAGTCTATTGGGCAAATTTCCTGCAGAACAGCATGAAGATGAACTTCTTTGAATTAATGTTGTTTAGATGAATTAGTGACTTTATAGAATTCCTGATTTGATTCAAATAATTTTAGGAAGAAAGTTTATAGAGATGGTTTTAGTTGTTTTGCCTGAAAGATATAATAAAGTTAGAATCAAGAATAGAATATGCCTCCTCCTTATAGTAAGTAAAGGCTACATAGTAAGTAATACAATGAGCTTCCATAAATTGCACTAAGAGAAACAGACTTGTGACAGATTTGTGACCAAGGAAAACCATTTATTCTAGGTCAGGTCCAGGGATGAAGCCACATGTGTACACAATATGATAAAGCAAGGATGTGTGAAACTGTTGCTTTGAACTTATAATGAGCTTATAGAATGACACACTGTTTTAAACTTATGTCAACATCCTTCTGTAACTCCCCTTGTATGTAATATTTCACCTATGAGATAATTTTTTTTTCCTAGAGAACATTTAAAAAGCTGAAAGCAAAAATTTTGGTGTAGCCCTTTTCTGCTTTGCCGTGTGTGTGTGTGTGTGTGTGTGTGTGTGTGTGTGTGTGTGTAAGAGAGAGAGAGAGAAAGAGAGAAAGAGGGGAAGAGAGAGAGAGATGACCCTCCTGAGTCAAAGAAAAAATAGGCCAAGTAACTAAGTTCCTTTTCTTATTTCTTTGTTGATATCAGCAGGAATCCATTTCCAGAAGCAATAAGCTTCTGGTTCCAGAGAGAGAGAGAGAGAAAGTTAAACTGACAGAAGCCATCAGCTTCTAGCCCCTGGAACAGTAAAAGGAAGTTAAAGGCCAAAGGTCATCAGTTTTTGGTCTTTGTCCTTTGTCCAATGCTGTGTCCCACCTTAGTACATAACCCTGTCGAGTCAAGACCCCTAGCATAAAAATGATGGGACAAGAAAAAATTGATGATTAATTTGTTTCCTTATCGATGTAATCTTAGAATAAAGCCTTACCAGTGTTAGCAGCCAATTGCCATTTGTCAAATGAAGAAATATATGAGAGAAAATTTTCACAGTGAGGTATCTAGAAACCACATTGATCTGTTTAACACATTGCTGTTTCATAAACATACATACAAAAAAAATAAAAAATAAAATCATTAATTTTTAATATCTAATCTCAGGAAAATCCAAATTTTAAAATATACAAACATATTTTACTCTATATTCTTGTCTCTGTTTAGTTTTAAGGTGAGAATATAGCATGTATCTGACTATGCTGTTATGCACTTAGTAGATGTCAAAATTAATAATCGTTCTAAGGTTATCATATATCATAGTTGAGATATCATACTCAAATATCTAGCAAAACATTTGTCTCCTTTGAATGTATTTGTTACTTTTTCACATGTGTGCTGTGCATGCAAGTGTGTATGCATATTTACATGTGGAGGGAATGTGTGGGGGGGTATGCACATGCAAATGCATATACACATGTGTGTGCTCATGCATATGGAGGCCTGAGGGATAACTTTGGGTATCTACTCCAATCACTCTTCACTCTGCTAAGGTAGGGTCTGTTGGCCAACTGTGAGACCACTGGTTCTAACTCGTCTAGCTAGCCAGCCTGCCCCAAGCATCCATTGTCTCTCTGCCTCCACATGGCTGGGATTAGAAGTAGCTGCCATACCTTCCTGGTTTCTACATGGGTTCTGGGGATCCGAACTCTGGTCTTCATGCTTGCGTGACAAATGTTCTACCCACTGAACTATCTCCCCGGCTTCATGTTGGTTGATGTTAAAATCACTCTTCATTTCCATAGCTTCACTGAGTTAGCGTTAACATTTGTTAAAACAACTACATGACCAAAGTCTACTCGGCTGAGGTTGCCATGGATATGTACACTTTAACAAAGAAACCCAGAGGCTTAAGATGAGCTTTAAGTGTGAAATCCAGACCTGATGTGACAATGGCATTCATTCTCAGGATAAGGTGGCAGCAGGTCACTTTCTCCCCAAACCTGTAACAACTATATGAAGTCTGAGTTGGTCTTGGTTCAGGTCTGCCCAGCTGTCAGTCTCTGGACTTCTGAGATACAGATAGGAAAACCATAGATGCTGTACAACACGTGAGAAGGAAATAGAGAAAGAAAAAAAAAACCAATAAAATCTAATTACACGGACTTTCACTTAAAACAAAAATTGATTGAGTTCTGCCTAAAGTGACTTGTTGTTTCCTGTGCCAGGAACTACTGTGCAGGCCCAGCAGGAAGTGTGCTACAGAACGGGATCGCCTTACACTCTCCTTTTCTGGTTCATTTCACTTATTTAATGCAATCCGAGAAGCTGCAAAAGGAGCAAGTCTGAAGAGGGAAAGGGCTTTTTTTGTCTTGTTTTGTTTCAAGTTTCTTTGGATCAAAACATTTGTTTTTACAAGGTGCTTAAGAATCCCAGAGAAACAGGAGTTCTAGAGGTGCCAGGTGAAGACATCTTTCTTTGTCACTTTGAAAGCAAGAGACAAAAGTCGAGCTCCGTCTGCTTCCTTTTCTGCCCTACTCAACCTTACTTTAAACATGAAGAATTACAACCATGCCCATGAATGGTCTAAACCATCTAGAATTCCATTCGAAGTTCCTCATAGGGTGTTTAATCCGAGAAAGAGCCCCTGACCTTGGCGGGTTATATATCTGAGATGGAAAATCACCATTCATTTGTCAAGCTGGAGAATGAGTTCCTTTTACTGTCTTGCTTGGAAATGTGTGAAGCGAACAGCTGGATTTCCTTGCAAGTGGCATACCCTGCTCCTCACATGCTGTCTGTCTGTCTTCCCTCCCCTCCAGGGACCTCAGTATGAACAACATCAGTCAGCTACCGGCCAGTCTCCTGCATCGACTTCGCTTCCTAGAAGAGTTGTAAGTATCACTGCTGTCTGGATGTTTCCAGTCAATGCTGAGTGCATTCCTGCATTTGTCTCTCATACTTGCTGTGGGAATCAGATAAAACAAATCAGGGAAGCTGTCCACACCAACAACTCTGGCACATGAGGAAACACTTAAGGAGGGGTTGGGGGGGTAGGGGTGCAGGGGAAGACTAGCTTATGATTCTGGAAATCAACTTATAAAAGAGTTTACCATGAGGCTACAACTTTCTAAGGTGAGGCTGGGCCAAACAAATTAAAATTTTAAAGCAAAGGCTGTTTAAAAGAGCTGGATGCCTCTCTGGAAACAGTTAAACAGCGGGGTATTAAAAGTTTGAATACTGGTTCATGTTTATTAAAATAGCAAGTAAAGCTGTAATGAAAACCAAAAACTGCCGCTTGGTTCAGCTTGTGACTGGGAGAATTGAGTCCACATTGCATAGCACCAAAAACTTCTTGTCCTGATCACTTTTAATTACTATTTCCCGACTTTTAAATTCAACTTCCCTCAAGGTTTCAATGGAGAAAACATAAAATCCAGAGGCCTTACGAATGGGGTTCTTCTAAACTCACTATTAAGAAAAATTGTTTTAAAGGAGAAAGATAAAATTAGTTAATGATGCTCAGAGGAACCCTGATTAAGTCTAGTGATCGCTTTCCAGAAGATGAAAAAAAGAACTGTATAAACCAAAAATCTGCATTTTTGCAAATTAATTTGATCCCCATACTCTGTTGAGTGATCGAAGCGCTGCACCATCATGGTCCCTGTGAAGGAGGCTTGGCACCATCAGTTGGGTAAATCCTCTGGTTGATTAAAGGGATTGTGTCGGCAGTGACCTCTTTTGAAAATGCGTCTCTTTCAAACCCTAAAGTCAGGGTCCAATTTGAGGAGTAATTTAAATCTTTGGTGTACCACATGATCCACCATGGGAGGCGGAATGTTCCCTCATTACCAAATTGCACAATGGTGATCATTTCTTCAAGAGGATAATATTCCCCAATTCTCCATGTGAGAGCTTTATCTTTTTCTTTTTGATGGTGTTATTGCTTAAAGAGCGTCGTTGTCCTTATTCCTAGAAAGAATATTACCAATTGGTTATCACGCGGTACGGCGGAGAATTGGGATAGTAATTATATAGCAAGGATTTTTTTTTTTTATCATTTAGAGACTGTATTCAGCCTATCTCTAGACTTCTCTCTCTTCCTCTCTATACTCTCTCACATTCACTTACATGGCTACCAATTAGCCTTCAAAGAAAAAGCTAGCAGTATATCTGTCTTAGTCACAGTCTGTACATAATAAATAATAAAGTTCTGAAAAATAAGAAGTGAAATACTTAAGAGGAGTTGCACACATAGTGTGTGTGTGTGTGTGTCCATGTATGTATGTAGTGGTTGCTTTAAGTAACTTTCAAACATCAGGACTGTTGGCTCAACTACAACACTCTTGCCCTGCCCAATTAAGATGCAAAATTTAGCTCTCTGTGCCATCATATTTCTAAGATAAAAAATTATGTACCCTTTCCTCTTTTCTTTTAAATGTCACAAGGCACAATGCTCCCTTTCTTCCTCAACACATACTTCAACTTTAGACCACAAACTGAATCAATAAATAATTCACTTCCCCCCAAGGACTTTTCATAGAATCCCTGCCCCTCCACCAGTGACATGGACCATTCAGAATAACTCCTCTTTCTTCTCGAAGTAAATGTTAATTCTGTCTCAAGGGCAGTTTGTCAAGAGATAATTGAGAGGGGGAAGCAGACTCAGGGGAGAGGGAGAGAAAACACCATTCTAAAATGGGGCTTTAATGAACAATCTCATATTTATCTCTCCGGAAGCTCCATCCAATATCTTGGTCGTAGAACCAGAGAATTCCAGAATTAAAGGTCACTCTTTAAAAACTATCCCATTCTCTTTGACTGCTCTGGAATTTGCTCTGCCGAGCTGACTGAATTGCTGAATTTAAGGTTAAGACTGAGACCCATGAGACGGCTCAGGAGAGAAAGGCATTTGCCACCAATCCCATCACCAGACCCCAAATGGTGGAAGGAGAGAAACAGTCTCCTCAAACTTTCCTCTGACTGCTCCGTACAAACATGTAAGCACACATATACATACATGCATGCATGCACACACATACATGCATACACACATATACATGCACACACATGCACACATACATATACACATGCACGCACACATATGTACATGCACACACACATGCACACACATGCACAGTCATACACATGCACACACACAGACTCACACACACATGTGCACACACGAATACACACATTCACACATGCATACACACACATGCACACATACACATATACACACACATGCACACACATATACACATGCACACATACATGCACATGCACACTCATACAAGTTGGTTGGCGTCAGAGCTAAGAGCTTGGCTGGGGTCACAGCTGAGACTTTCAGAGCTGTGCTTGAAAGGGAGAGAGGGGATGAGGAGGAGGTACGCACGGCTCTCCTGTGCTGTTCACCGTATCACCCCAAGTACCGGGTACAGAACGCTTCCCACTCAAACACCTTTGACTCAATTAAGGAAACCGAGACATTCGGTGGTGGCTGTGCATCCGTGTGCTCTTGCCTGCATCTGTCTGTGTGGGAGAAGGAAAAAGGATGAGCTGGAAGGCAAGAGCAGCAGACCCAGGGGAGGGAGCAGAAACTCAGACGTTAATCCTGTATCCTTGCCCCTGAAAAGCATCCTCACAGTCTGGAAGTGTGAAGTCTGGCACTGTTCAGCGGGCCCAAAACGCTTGTTAATAGTATTATGTATAAAAATAATACATACTTACACACCGTGGTTTATGAAGTATTCTCCTTGAGCAAACAATTTGACATCCATGCTGGCTGACACGGGCGGGCATTTAGAAATCTGTGTGTGTGTGTGACATTGTGACATTGAAGGAGCTATTGACAAGGTAGTAGCATTTCACTCAGTTTACCCAGCTGAATGTTGTCTCCTTATAGCCAAATAGATGGCTGTATATAGTATCGACAAGAAAACCCATCACAACAGTCTTTAAAAATCACTGCTGATGAATCCAAGTCACCATCCTTTGCTCTAAGTACCAAGTACGTCATTCCCTTGGTTTACTTCATTTGTTGTAGACTTCATATGAAATATATATAAATATACACATATATCCTATACATACATATACATCATATACATATACATCATATACATATACAACATATACATATACATCATATACATATATATCATATACATACATATACATACATATACATACATATACATACACATACATCATATACATCATATACATACATATACATCATATACATACATATACATCATATACATCATATACATACATATACATCATATACATACATATACATCATATACATACATATACATCATATACATATACATCATATACATATACAACATATACATATACATCATATACATATATATCATATACATACATATACATCATATACATATACATCATATACATATCGTCTATTTCATAGTGTTGTGGACAGCAATGTAGACAGCTATGGTTCACAGTTCACCCATCATTTTAAGCTTAACAAAGGTACCATAGTTGAAAATACAATAGGGACATAATTTGTAAGGATATTCAAGAAGTTCATTTTTTAAGTGTGTCTCCAGGTCACATGTCCCTCTGCATCAAATATTTCAGAAAAAAACAAATGCTACCATGGAGAATTATCTCCCTCTCTTTTGTTCTTGACATCCAGGGATAGTCAGGGATAGTGTTCCAAGTTTAGCACATTCATTCCTTCATTTGTTAATTTATTTGTTATCTATTTGTTAAGTGACTGGATATGCACAGGCCCATCATTCTTCTAAGGGTGATCTCCTAACACTCAAAAGAGGTAAAGAAGCAGAGAGCCTTTTTCTTGACGTATAGAGTCTATTTCCCTGAGAGAGGTGCACAGCACCGACATCCAGAAGCCCAGGGCACCCTGGTCTGGATGAGCCAGTTACTGGCATTGAACTTTTCAAGGCCTTGAGTTATAAGTAGTGAAAGCTGCCCCACCTGTCCTCCAGGATGTGTCTGAGAACCAAATGGGGATGTGAAAGGATTTGGGCAATCCTCAACTTACATTTTGAGTTGTCGTGAAACACAAACACCTCTAAAGTACTTCCTCTCCTGTTTCATAAGCCTGACTTTGCAGGAAACCCAGGAACATGGGATCTGTGGGGGGAAAGCTGGTTGGTGTTGTGATAGATAAAGCCAACGATGCCAGAGAGCTCTTTACCAAATTTTGACATCTTGAACAATCGCTGCATTTGACACCAACGTTTCTTCCTCCAGCTCCGTTCACTCTGTTAAGGACTTCATGTTCTTCCTTTGTGGGCAAACAAAAGATTCTGCCTTTGGCTTTCAAAGTGTGGCTCAGAGTTCAGGAGCTAATGGCAGATGGTGTCTGTTGCTGGCATCTCCAAGTTAGAGTAAACTTAGATTGGAATTCTGATTAGACCAGGCAGTTGTTTCCATTTTAAATATTCCCAAGTCTTTATTTCCAGCTTGCATCTTAAAAATCTTCCCAGATTTTAGTGCTATTGGAATCAAATCATCGACTCACAAAGAAACATGAGAGGCTCTGGGAGGTCTGCTTTTAAGTTACCATTGTTCCCTGGAACAGTTTGCTCGTATTATGGTTGGCTTTGAAGAACCCCTACATAAATAGTAGATATCTATCATTACCAATGAAATTTGGACTGAGAGATACCACCAGACATTCTGAAGCGTAATCCAGGCTTGCTATTTTTACTCCCTTGCCTCATGACTGGAAACGGTGAGAACCGTCCCGCCTGTCTTTTGAGATGTTTCTTTAAGGAAGGACCGTAGTAGACTACAGCACAGGTAACTTTTTGCTTGTCAAGTGAAAATACTGTCGTACCCATGAACAACCGTCACACCCTTAGCCCTTAGCGTGTCTCTAGTCTCTTAT